TGGCCAGGGATCTGGGCCTGATAGATTCATTCGTGGGTGCTCTGGCTGAAGAGCGGAAGAGCAGTTCGCTGCCTCATTTTTATTGGGGTTGGGGGAACCATTTATTCATATAATTGTCTTTATTTATGCATTCATTTCTCTCTTTCGATGCGTTCATCCTAGTGACGAGCAAACCAGCTGGAGGGCGGAGAGAGAGAGAGAGAGAGAGAGAGAGAGAGAGAGAGAGAGAGAGAGAGAGAGAGAGAGAGAGAGAGAGGTCTTTGCAGGACTGTTCGATGGACTTTGCTCTGGATCAGATTGAAAGATCAGCTATTTCCCTAGTCCCCCAGCAACATCCATCCAAAAACCCAATCTTCATCTGGGGGAATGATTCAATCGATATCCGTCTTTTGGATGGTTATACACAGAAGAGGCTAACTTCCAGTTCAAGGGTTGAAAGTTGAAACTCACTCAAAGGGGATTTCAAAATGAAGGGCTTCACCGTTGGGATTTCCGATTCCTCAACATTAGGGCATCATTGATGGAAGTGAGACACCGCCTATCCATCTGAAAAGGCAGTAAATTAGATCCCCTTGCTACTGGGACGCTGTAGCAAGCAGACTGTAATGAGGATACTCCCTCATGGTGCATAAACTCGGTCGTGGAAAACAATGGGCAGGAACCTTGATGGAAAAGGCAGTGACATGAAGGAAGAACACCTCTGTTAAATCATTCCCTTTGCTGAAGGAAAGTAACGGAGTTTTAGGGCTGAATCAAATTACAAAATTACCCCTAGGGTTTTGGCTGACTTTCGCTTTCTCCCTTGGTTGTGCCATCTTGCTTGTCTGGCGCCATTGCTGGGAAAATTACTGTTCTGCCTCTGGATATCATTAATTATGGAATTATCCCTCTAATGAAAGCACGTTTCCTATTCATTTTCATTCGAAGTAGATGTGACACATACCCCTGCAAATCCAAGAAATGGCAGGACAAGCCCTGAAACGGGGTTTCAGCCTGGATCTCAGAGATCTGCGGGTCAGATCTATTGACTTCATTCATCATTTATGTTTATTTTTCTTTCTGTTTCACTGCCCGGTAAAGAGCATCAAGCCCAGTTTTTGAGTGGGGGCATGACAGGCTATCGGGACCCCACTCCCTGCTGCGTCGCTGAGGACCCCTGAAGTGGGCGCAGTGGTGACAGATGCTGTTGCCCCGGGCTTCAGCGAACGGTAGAAAAGACCCTCCACAGATTTTCCTCACAATGGGATGATCACATCGGTGAAACACAGAGTAAGTTTTTGAATTCTTCAACAAAGGTGCTTTCGTTTTAAGCCTGCACCGGAGCGTTCCACAGAATCACATTCATATCCATGACCCTTTGGATTTCAGCTGTGGCTCAACCGGATTTTTTGTCGGATTTTTTTTTTCTGATTTTGCATCTACAATGACGAACCGACTGGAATCTTTAGGACTTCGTGTGAGACCCAACTTGGGACAGGACTGGGGATTTAGTAAGGCATTATCATCACATCAGTTCGTCTACCTAGAGGAACGTGCATTTCCATGGAACTCTCGTGACGAGACCTACACAGCTATACGTATTCCATGTCGTACCGAGGCATGTCGGAGGCATTTTCGGCGCAATCAGGTGTGCAGGTATTGGGGCTAATTTGTGGCATGCTAACTTTTGGGGACAATGACTACACCAGGCCAGCCGGATCTATACAGGTGGGGAACAAGGTTTGTTTCTTCCTTGGGGACAGGAGCTCACTGAGCACCTCCTGAACACTGGAGGTGGCAGGATGAAGGATGAGATGGCGGGATGAGGAAGGAGAGGGAGGAATATCAAGTGAAAAAAAAAAGAAGTGCATGCCATCGGGCGTGTGCCTATGACAATGGCCAAGAGGAGGGGAGAGGAGGAGAAGGATGGGTGCCTCCTGAACACTGGAGGTGGCAGGATGAAGGACGAGATGGCGGGACGAGGAAGGAGAGGGAGGAATATCAAGTGAAAAAAAGAAGAAGTGCATGCCATCTGGCGCGTGCCTATGATGATGGCCAAGAGGAGGGTAGAGGAGGAGAAGGATGGGTGGTGGATGGAGGGGAGACGAGGAAGAGCACTCTCTCTCTCTTTCTCTTTCTCTCTCTCTCTCTCTCTCTCTCTCTCTCTCTCTCTCTCTCTCTCTCTCTCTCTCTCTCTCTCTCTCTCTCTCTCTCTCTCTCTCTCTCTCTCTCGCTCTCTCTCTCTCAGCTTACCATGGGGAAAATGGAGTCAACTGCACACAGCTGGATGATGAGGGTGACGATGGCGATGGAGCCGATAATGTCGATGATGGCAACTGCACGTAGATGATGCAGCAGCAAGCATGACAAGACAACAACGAGGGTGTGCTCTCGTGGTCCAATCTCGGCGCTGATCATCGAAAATTAGCGGCCCAGATCGGCCTGGAAAAAGACATGCCGAGCGGTGTGAAGGTAGGCCCGGAATTGTTTTGGCCTCCCTTCACACACAGGAGGCCTGGTAATGTGCTACAGAGGGTCAAAACGGCCCAGCGCTTAATGAGCCGGCCACACCCATGGCCAACCGGGGAGGCCGCCTGGGCAACTCATAGTGACCCAAGCCGTACGGGAAATAGCGACAATGAACCTGTAAACAAATACCATACTCACACCGACAAATTATGCAAGGGTTAAAAAAATGAGAAACTGAATACAACTAAACACCTGTGGGCAGAAGAACGGGGGGAATGGCAAACGGAACAAGAACTCCGGAACACCCTAAAAGGATGTCACGCTCTCGCAGACAACCTAAGTTCAATCCAGAAGAGCATCCCACCCCCTTGGCTCCGCCTCTTGAAAGAACACTTCTCCTGGAAACCAGGGGACTGGGGTATACTCATATCCCAAACTTCACCGAACAGAGCATACCGATTCGCATCCCGCACCTCAGCCACCGGCTACCTTTCCAAATTCTACTCCTATCCCATCGCCAATCACAACCAACAGGAACTTGCCATTCTCAACAGAGAACCTTTGCTAGAGACGATAGAGTCCTTCCTCCTTCGAAAAGTGAGGGTAACAAAAACCAAACCATGGATAATCTTCCAGGCTGGCCTCGGCATAACGGAGCTCGAATTCAATCCTAAGGAGTGGATATGGAAACAAAGCAAAACCGGAAAAAAACAGAACGATTACGAATTTACAACGTCAAATTCTGGTACAACCTAGGCCTACTGACCACGGACCCCAACCCCAAACTTGTAGACAGATGGAGAGAGACACTGAGCCTAGAGCCTACAGCCTCAATATCCATCCCCTGGACAAAATAGCTCCCCATCAGACCAGTTAGAATCCGTAGCTTACAGTGGATCCTAGCCCATGCAGCACTCCCTGTCAACCAGTGGCTCCACAAAAGAAGAAAACACTCAGATCCTGACAGTTCTGAACTATCGTAATGTGCGATGACAACGTCCCTGAAAACATCCCCCACTGCCTCCTCTACTGCAGCCAGGCCGCCTGGATAAGGAACAAAGTCCGAAACCTATGGTCCCACCTTGTCTCATCCCCTCCCCCCAACCTTACCCCTCTGAACATCCTACTTCTATCTAACATCCCCGGCAGCCTCAGAAGTAGAAAAGCGGTCTGGTTCCACATGATCAGGACAATAGCCCTGTGGGTCATATGGAAAAGGAGATGTACCAGGACAATCGAGGGTTCAGAAGTGGCCAAGGAGGAAATGTGAAACCTGCTGCTGAGGATGGTGGAAACACAGATCCGATGCAAATGGAGGAATATATCGACAGCAATGAGAAGCAAACCTGAAAGACTCGCACTCAGGAGACAAATCTTCATGAGAGACTGGTTGCTACAGGGGAAGATCGCAACAGTCTCAGACAATAAGATACACTGGAAGGAATGGGCCACTACAACAACGACAAGGATTGTAGCCCCGAGAGGGACAAATTCAGGTTGTAGCCTCAGACGGATAGACATCTCTCCCGGTTTTCTTGTGCTTCAATACCTATTCAACAGAACCAACAGGGTATCTGAGAGGAAAGCTAGGGTAGGGCAAGCTGACAGTCAATCCTCCCATACAGGAGCAATCAATGCTGGTCAGGGTTCCTTCGGCCAGACGGAAGGAAGCGTGGGTGTGCACTATGTTGTATTCAATCTTGACTTGCCGGGGGAATAGGAACCGGACTGACGCTCCCCAGAATGGACATGGAACCACGGCCAAAAGGACCTGTTTACTACCAAAAAAAAAAAAAAAA